TAATGTCGATTTATATGTACATACTTTATGGAATTTCGATTTTTGTCAAAATTTACCCCCCACCCCTATATTCACCCCCTCACCAGCACCTTTGTAAAAGGCGTATTTCAAATACTAGAGACTTATGCTTTGGCAAATACATGCATATCCATGTTATAATCATAATCTGAAAGCTTCATGAAGAAAGTACATCCACAAAAAAAGTTAATGCACAATTAGTTTCCTATAGTAAGCCACCACTGCAGCCAATGCGTGCTTATGCGTGCGTGCGTATCTCTGTGTGTGTGTATATATATATGTGTGTGTGTGTGTGTATATATATATGTGTGTGTGTGTATATATATATGTGTGTGTGTGTGCTTGTGTGTGTGTGCTTGTGTGTGTGTGTGTGTATGTGTGTGCGTGTGTGTGCGTGTGTGTGTCTTGTGTAAGCAGAAAGACGCGAAAAATGGATGAAATAGCTATTGCTCGAAGGGTTCCGGGGATCTCGTAGTCGGGCAGTCTTGACTAGAGCTTTCATACTTGTTTTTTTTTTTTTTTTGCAAACTGCGATATTAATATTCCGAACACTTCTTGGTCTTCAACTTGTAATGCAAATTACTTTATTCCGACAATTGATCACTATCTTTTTGATGAATTGTTTAACCTGTCTATGTTTCAGATGAACTCTATTTCAAACCATCTTAATCGCACTCTTGATCTTGTGTTTGTTAATCATGATTCGCTCATTAATGTCGCGAGATCAACTCCTTTCTCCTTACCTGAGGATATATATCATCCCACTTTAGAGGTTTTATTAACTATCGACAATCCTCCCTCTAATACTCCAATGCCTTCTAAACTTAGTCGCTGTTATCGTAAATGCAATTTCGTTTTGCTTAACGAACTAATTAATTCAACAGACTGGTCTATTTTATATGAGTCGGTTGATATTAATTTAGCAGCATCGTTTTTTTATTCTACCTTAAACTCTATTCTGGATGTTTGTGTCCCTCTCCGCCGTATTTCGCCAGTTTAAAAAAAGCCACCTTGGTTCACCAAAACTCTTTCGAACTTGAGAAACATTAAAACTAAATGTTTTAAAAATTACAAAAAGTCTGGTTCAAGTATTGACTGGTCCAAATATTCCATTGCCAAGTCAAACTTCAATCTTTTAAATTCTAGCTGTTATGAGAATTATCTTACACGTTGCAAACGTCAGTTTACACGTGATCCCAAACAATTTTTCTCATTTGTAAACTCGAAGCGTAAATCCTCTGGTTTGCCGTCCTCATTTGTCCTTGGAGGTGAAAAAACATGCAATGATCAGGATTCCTCTGATCTATTTGCTGATTTTTTTCAATCCACTTATTCTTCTGCTGATCTCTACAGCAACTCACATCCTTATTCTCTTCCTGAATATGGATCTGTAAATACTCCCAAAGTTACTGCATCCTCTCTGGCTGCAGCCATTAAGACATTGAAATCATCTTTCTCTCCTGGTGCTGATAATATTCCTAGTTGTGTGATTAAAGAGTGCAGTGTTTCTCTTCAGTCACAATTACTAAAATTGTTTAACTTGTCCTTGGATACTTCTGTGTTCCCTTCAATTTGGAAAGAATCTTTCATCATTCCCTTATATAAAAAAGGTGGAAGATCTGATATTTCCAATTATAGAGGCATCGCGAAATTATCTGCTATTCCGAAGTTATTTGAGAAAATCATAACATCGGCCTTGCAGCATTTTTGCAAATCGATTATTCAACCATCTCAACATGGTTTTGTTCAAAATCGATCTACGTCCTCTAATTTACTCGAGTTCACGTCGCTTGTTAATGACAGCTTTTCCAAAAAAATGCAAACCGATGTTATTTATACGGACTTCAGTAAAGCATTTGACTCAGTACATCATTACATACTAATTCTTAAGCTTGAACGCTTAGGATTTTCACCCAGTCTTGTCTCTTGGATTTCATCCTATTTAACGGGTAGAACCCAAAGAGTCTTGCTGAGAACAGCTATGTCTAAACTTATCTTTGTTTCGTCTGGTGTACCTCAGGGTAGCCATTTGGGCCCATTGCTCTTTTCCCTTTTTATAAATGACCTTCCTAGTTGTATCTCGTATTCCACTATATTTATGTATGCTGATGATGTAAAACTTTGCCTTCCATACTCCAGGGCAAATGGACATCTTCACCTTCAAGATGACCTAAATGCATTTCAACTTTGGTGTGTGGCAAACCAGCTTGACCTAAATTGCTCAAAGTGTATGACAATGACCTTCAGTCGTACCGTTCCTCTAATTGTTGATTATAAAATTAGCAATAATTCCTTACGACGCATCTTTACAGTCAAAGATCTTGGTGTATTCTTTGACTGTAAACTTAACTTTAATCTTCATATTTCTACCATAATTAATGAAGCCAAAAGTGTGCTTGGCTTTATTAAACGTTGGTCTAAGGAATTTAAAGATCCTTTTATTACCAAGCGCTTATTTACTTCGCTTGTGCGTCCTATCCTAGAGTATTGTTCTGTCGTATGGTCTCCGCAACATAAACTGTATCAGGATCGTATCGAATCGGTCCAAAAACAGTTTCTTCTCTTTGCCTTAAGAGACCTTAGATGGGACAGTAATTTACGATTACCGTCTTATCATAGTAGGCTCCAGCTAATTGATCTTCCATCGCTAACCAATCGCAGAACAATTTTAGGAATTGTTTTTCTGCATAAATTGATTAGTGGTGATATTGATTCGTCCTCTTTGTTGGGTCGTCTAAATTTTTTGGTTCCGTCCCGATCAACTAGACACTATCGTCCGCTTCATTTACCTGTGTGCACTAGGGATTATTCTTTGCACAGTGCGTTTCATGTTCTTTGTGTTAATTTTAATAAATATTATCACGTTTTTTCCTTAGAGCTCTCTCCTCCTAAAATAAAAAGTGTACTATCAGCTTATCTTAGGGAAATCACTCACAATGCCCAGGCATAAGCATTGGCATACGCTTTTGCTGCTAATGTTGTGTTAGTGATTTCTCAATTCTATTCTTATACTCTATTTTTGGCTCTTCCATTACTCTTTTCTTTTTATTATTTCTTATTCTTTTTATTAACTTTTCTTGCAACTTCTCTTATTACCGGCCATTTTCTTTTTCTATACTTTATCTCTTCTTATTTTATTCTTTTTTTCTTTTTTTTATTATTGTTTTTTTTTTTTAACTCCTTTTATTTATTTATTTATTTTATTTTATTTTTTTTTATTATTATTATTATTTTTTTTAATTTTTTATTATTATTTTAAGAATTATTTTAAGTATGCTAAATATTGTTTAATAACCTACATTTTAATATTTTATTTTTTTAAGTTTTCTTACTAACACTTTCTTTTCATAGCTTCAATAGTATCACTGACCATATTTGGCTGTGAGACGTGGGCATAGCCGGCCGGACTGGCAAATAAAATACCCCCATCGGGTTGGTGTTACTATTGAAATTATATCGTGTACTTTGTATAGGCTTTTTTAAATTAAAATTGACTCTCATTTTTGTCAATAGCTTTAAGAAAATAAATAAATAAATAAATAAAACTCATCGAAGCAATTCATATACTCGGGCTCAAAACTTATTTATTCTTTGTCGCTCAATACAATATTGTGCGTCTAAGTCATATACGATCGCACTCACACACTCTTACATTTTCGTTTTGGCCTCGGTGCCACACATTTCAATATATGAGCATTGTTAATTCGGATACGTTTTTTTTTTTTTTGGCTATATATATTATATACTCATTCACAAAAGTGAAATGAATTTTTTGCAATTTCCGTATTGCTGTCTGTATGAACGCAGTTTTTTTTTAGCACTATTAAGGCTAGAGAATTGACATTTAGAGCATATACTTGTGTATATCTCCGATCTATAAAGTATTAAAATCCGATCCGCCCACTATGGGCGTGGCAAATCGGAGAACGTATTTTCCGATATGCCAGAAATCATATAATTTGAACAGCCAAAAAGCTAAAATTTGGAATGTAGATCCACGTCGACCACCCAAGATCAAAAGCTATGGTGTATATATCCACGCCCATTGATCGTGGCAAATCGGATAAAACTGTATCTCGTAGAGTTTTAAAGCTAGAGCCCTGGAATTTTACATTATTCTATAAGGACCGATGATAAAATTGTCTACGCCTACTAATGGCGTACCTGAAGATATAGTGTTTTTTCAAATTTTGCTATATTTTAGGCAGTTTTGATGCTAGAGACTTGAAATATGATATATTTACCCGGGCTGACCACCTAAGACCAAAGTAGGCGTGGCAAACCGAAAAATTGTATATTTCCTGAACTTTAAGACCTAGAAACTTGACTACTGGTAACCTCCTCTATCGATGACCCAAAAAAATTGCTACGCCCCTTTTTAAGCGTGGCATATGGAAAAATACCCTATAATTTTCAAATTTTTTACCGAAAGTATCAAAATTTTGCAGTTATATTACCGTCAGCTCGATTTAAAAACCGGCCAAAAATAATGCGTCTACGCCCAGTAGGGACGTGGCAAATCGGAAAAACTGCATTTTCTGCAATATTAGAGCTAAACTTAGCTACTAAATTGCTGATGGGATGTGAACGACTAGCAGGTAGTGCGCTGGGAAAAGATAAGGGTCACATGTACGGACTCTATAGATAAATGAACAGTAATCCTTGCAGCCCCAGAGTCAAATTATGTAAGAGAGTGGCGCTGAGCCCTACAAACTCAGCGATAGGATAGGATAGGAATAGGAATAACTAATAGACCCAAGCGGAGTCTTACAAACTCAGCAATAGACGTACTAGATTTAAGAGTTGAAAATATGCATGAGTCTGGGTATATAAACCCAGGCTCAGAAGAATAAAGATCAATACAAAACTAAACACCATCATAGTCAAGTGTATTCGTTCACATCAACGAGTATAACTTATTCAAAATTTTTAGGGAAGGACAACGTAGCTAACGAATTTAAAACAGTTAAAATATTACTTACATTTGTTAACGCATCGGGGTTGGCTTTGTGTCGAAGAAGTAGATTGATTACCATCGTATGACCTTGTTGTGCTGCCTGATGAAGGGGAGTATAACCAACATTTGTTGTCATTTCAATATTCGCATCGTTTTCGAGAAGAAATTTAATTTCATTTATTTGGTTATAGTGCGCAGCAATATGAAGTGGCGTATAGCCAGCTTTAGTGCGCTCTGAAATGTAGGCTCCGTAATTGAGTAAGGTCTGTGAAACCTGCACGTGTCCTTCCTGAGCAGCCAAGTGCAAAGGGGTCAAACCATTTTTCGCTGATATGTTGGCATTGGCACTCTGTTCAAGTAGCAATTGAACCATATCAACGTGTCCCTCCTGCGCAGCCAAATGAACCGGTGAAAACCCCGACTTACTTGTTGCATTAACATCGGCACCGTGCTGCAATAGTTCCTGTGCTGTCTCTAGGTTATTTTTCTTAGCAGCGATATGAAGGGCACTATGGCCATTGCGTGCTGTTATTTGGGCAGAAGCGCCTTTCTCTAGTAGCAGTAACACCACAGGCTGGTGATCATAATGAGTGGCAACATGCAAAGGTGTCACATCGTTTTTACCTTGACAATCAATGACGGCTCCCTTTTTAATCAACATGTCGGCCACATTTGCCTTACCATACTTGCTAGCCAGATGCAGTGGGGTGAATCCTTTTTTTGTTTCAGATTCTAACTGTGCCCCATGTTCAATTAGTAACTGGCATACTTCCTCCTGGCCCTCCTTCGCAGCAATATGCAAGGCAGTATACATATCCTTAGTGCAAGCATTCACCTGTGCACCATGCTGCAACATTAGCATTATAATATCAATATTGCCCAGACGAGCGGCGACGTGCAGCGGCGTTTGACCCTCGCGAGCAACGGCATCCACTTGTGCTCCATTTCGAAGCAATATTCGAATAATGTCAGTCTAAAAAAGAAAGGTTTCACATGAACATTAACAAGTAAAATAAGTAAGAACGTTGCAGTCGGGCGTTACCGACTGCGGAATACTCATTCACATCCCATCAACAATTTAGTAGTTAAGTTTCGCTCTAATACTGTAGAAAACACGCCCCTACTGGGCGTAGACACCTCATTTTTGGTCAGTTCTTAGAACGTGATAACGGTACCCTAACTGCAAAGTTTGAATACTTACTCTCAAAAAATGTGAAAATTTCAGAGTATTTTTCGATATGCCACGCCCCTAAAGAGGCGTAAAAATTATTTTTGGGTCACCGATAGAGGAGGTTACTGGAAACTTAACTATCTAAATTTGAAGCTTCTAGCTATTATTCTTTAGGAGATATCAGCTTTTGCGGTTTGCCACGCCCCTGTGGGCGCACATATATCCGACAAAACTTTTTGGTCTTGGGTAATCAGCCCGAGTATATATACAAAATTTGAGGTCTCTGGCATCAATAGTGTCCCAAACATAGCAGAATTAAAAAAATCAATTTATCTTCAGGTCCGATTTGCCACGCCTCTAATGGACTTAGACTTATAATTTTGTCTTTAGACTTTATAGAATCACAACATTAGATGACGTGCAAAATTTCAGCGCTCTAGCTGTAAAGCTCTTGGAGATACATACCAAATTTCAGCTTTCTAGCTCTTCAACTAACATGATTTCTGGCATATCGGAAAATGCATTTTTCCAATTTGCCATGCACACTTTATAAATCGGGGATATACACGAGTATGTGTTCCAAATTTCTCTAGCTTCAATAGTGCCGAAATAGATTGTGTACGGACAGACGGATAGACGGACGGACAGCAAGACGGACATTTCACAAAACCAATATACTAATTCTGAATGAGTATAAAAACTCTAGTCGGAGTGCCGGACTAGGTGATCCCTTTAACCCCGAATGATCTGAGTTTTTAAATATAATTTTTGTTTTTTACTTCAAACGCAAATAAAACATGTAATATTAATCGACACTGCTGGACTAGAAGATCCATAGCATAGTACTTATACTCCAATCTTTCTTTTATGTACACGTACAATAAATATGACAGGTCTAGTCGAGACTTGCTCAACTATGAGATAGCCTGAACCCTCTAAGGTGATATTCTACTCATTTAGCACTTCTTTTATGCACACATGCACGTATAATCAAGCGCTCAGCTGACTGCGCAGTTAGCAGCGACTGCGCGTGGGCTGCGCTGCAGAGTGGGCAATATTTTGAGAATTTATTTATTGAATAATTTGTAGACATACAATCTCAATGAAACTATTAGAGCGTAATCATATGGTTAAAATGTGTGTACATTTCAAAGCAGAAGTCTCTAGTACTTGAAATGCGTTTTTTTTTTAAATTGGGGTTCGCCCTCACGGGGGTGTGGTATCCGAAATCTGTAAATAACAAAATCTTCGTATCGATTAACTGTATACACACAGTAAATCGGAAGTCTCTGGGTCTAAAAGTATTCAAATTGGGCTGAAAAATCCAAATCAATTTTTCTATTATTCTCGATAAAAAAAGTTATCGGAGGAGTTATCGAAAAATATGACAAACTTATACTCCGTATGGTACACACGAGTATGCATGCCAAATTTCTCTACCTCTTATAACTTCTGAGCTATATCGATTCAGGTCGTCGTGCTGATCAAGAATATTTATACTTTATGAGGTCTGCGATGATTGCTTCTGCTACCCGTTACATACTTTTTCATAAAACCATTATACCCTTTCCCATTTCCCATTTTCAATGGGTTCAGGGTATAAAAAGACACTTATCATCGGCGGGACTCGAACATGCGAAATTCTACATACCGTTTAGAGTTCAGTTCAGAGAGAAACGTTACTATACTGCTTGCAAAAAGAGTAGTGCAAACGAGCTAGGGCTCCACAAAAAAAACCCAAGCAATGGTTGAATAATTCTCATTCGTAATTGCATCTATTGCTAAGTTTTTCGGTTAAGGTACTTTCAACATCGGATCTACATATTCTTTTGAAAATTATATATTTTATGAGAATGTAAACTCAAATGACCTTCAAAAGGGAGTGTTCAAACATGAACATGTCATATACAAAAAAACAACCTGCGCGTTATCCGACACAAAGTAATAAATATGTCATCCCTTAGTTGTAGCGACCAATGCAGCGACTAATATATGTAAATGTAACGTGAGCCTGGGCCCAGCGATCTAAAAAAGGGACACTTGAATAAACATCTGTGCACTTGCTTGTATAGGAAAATGCACCCTTCCAGTGACTGGAAGTAGTTTTAAGAGTCTCTGTTAGGTATATAAGAGCTAGGATTTTAAGCAATGAATAGTTAGCTCAGTTTCAATCTTGAATTCGGCGAATGTGGAGCTGTTTTTATTTAACGCTCTAAGTAACTAATAACTAACTAATTGAAGTTTCTAGCTCTTATATCTTCTGAAATCAGGGAGCTCACACATACGGAGAGACAGGCGGACATGGCTTAATGCCGCTCCTCTTTTGCTTGTTACACTGATTCTCCATAAATATACATAAATAACGTGGACAAACCTGATTTGCGCGTGCAGCCAAATGAAGAGGCGTTTCGCCGCGTATGGTAGGCATGTCGGGGCTAGCATCGTGTTGCAACAAGTAAATAACAATATTCATGCAGCCTAAAAAGGCAAATCTATTAGATTTCGCATTCAGGGATAGAATATATGTATAATTACCCATAAAACTGGCTACATGTAACGGCGTTAAACCGGATTCAGTGGTGGCGCGTATATTGGCGCCATGTTTGATCAGCAATTCCGCCACCTTGATGCGATTTTTCTTGCAGGCAATGTGCAAAGGCGTAAATCCATTGAGTGCTCGAGAGTTCGGATTCGCTCCATAGTCCAACAATAATTTAGCCACTCGCACATGGCCGCAGTGGGCGGCCACATGGAGAGCTGTCAAATAGTCAACTGTCACTTCGTCAACGGGCGCCTTGTAATCGAGTAGCAAACGGGCTGCCTCGTCATGTTCTCCCTGCGCTGACATATGAAGAGCAGATAATCCATTTTTTGTCTTCGACAATATTGGAGCATGTTGAGAGAGTAAGAGCTGTATGACCTCGACATGTCCGGATCGCGACGCACAATGCAATGGTGTAAGTCCATCTCGAGTTATGGCATCAATTCGGGCTCCTTTTGCGAGCAAAAGTCTGCATACTGCTGCCTTTCCCCATTTACAGGCAACATGCAACGGTGTTATGTTATGTTTTGCCGCGTAGTTGACATCGGCGCCGCATTCGAGCAACAAGTTAGCAATGTCCACATTCCCATAATGGGCAGCAATGTGAAGTGGTGTAAAGCCTGACTTCGATACAATATCGGCGTTTTTATCATGCCTTAACAGCAATGTAGCCGCATTGACGTCATTCTTTTTCGCTGCAATATGTAAGGCCGGCAAACGCACTTTGCCACGAACATCGCTTTCGAGGAGCACGGCAACCACTTTATCATGACCTTGTTGCATGGCCACAGCGAGAGGTGTGAAACCATCTTCAGTAGCAAGGGATGGATTGGCACCCTTACTTAGTAGCAGACGGCAACAGCTATCATGATTCTCCTGTGCAGCCATATATAAAGGTGTAAAGCCGTTTAGCGACTGCACATTGACATTCGCATTGTATTGGATTAGTTGTTTTATCACTTGCTGCTGGCCAGCCAACGAAGCTATATGTAGGGCAGTGTTTCCTTTTTTCGTCGCACTGTCTACCGAAATTCCGCGCTTAAGGAGTTCGTTGCATATGTCTACATATCCATCCTTGGCCGCAAGGTGCAGGGCATTTAACCCATTCTAAGTTGAAGATAATCAAAGAAACTCTATATTAAAATTGCGATTTAAATTCGCTTTCAAAATATGGGGTTCGCAGTTGTTGTCTTGTAACCTCCATTTTTGCAAAAATGGATTCAAGATTAAATCTCTTCATTCTTGTAATTCAAAATATTTAAATAAATATGTATTAAAAACCATTTGGAAAATTCTATATTTTTTCCCAAAATTTATCAAAATATATATTGCAATAATAAATCCCAAAATTTATTAAAATATATATTACAATAATAAATCTATCTTTATTAATTTAGAAATTTTTCAAAGAGTGCGAAAACCATCTAAAACGATTTTAACAAAGAGCTGTGAGATTGAGATCACATTTTTACGAGAAAGCTGCTGGCAGAAAATAAAACTATTTTCAATAGTGAGGTTAGGTATTATAAAACATAAAGAATAGCTATGATTGAATCTGACTATTGAATCTGTAGACATTGATCAGCAAACTTTGTTATCCTTTCATATACAATACAAGAAGAACATTATAAGCCTTACCGCATTGCACGTGTTTATGTTCGTTATAAGTCCACTATCTATAAATTCCAGTACCTTGCCCAGATCTCCACTTCGAGCAGCTCGTAAAAATGATATGGTAGCATCATTCTTGAAAAATTCAAATATATATGGATCATTTTATTTTTGTCATGAAGAATGCCAATATATCGATATTTCTTAGATGCAATTTAGCCGTATGTCAGAGTGGCCGCGAAAAGCGATGCGATGCTATAAGCGATAATTATCACAGCGATCTGCAAAGCGATGGCATGTCAGAGTGAAAGAGAGAAATATTGCTTGAATTGCCAAAAAGAATATATTTCACCGACTAACCAACGGTTATTTATGCTCAGAACGCAACAAAAGCACACGTATCAGAAATGCTTTATCATGCGATAAAGAGAGAAAACGATTCAGGAATGCTTTCTCGCAACTCGCTTTACTTCTCGCTTCGCTTGCACTCTGACATGTTTTAATCGAGTACATGTAAATCTGCATGTAGAGCTTTCTCGCTTATTTTCGCTCCATATTATCGCATCGCTTATCGCCGCCAATCTGACATCAGCATTAGGATATACATATGTGATATTTTCCGATTTGTCAAAATACTAAATAAAAACTAAACCTAAAGAAATAAAAAATAATTTTCCATATAAATTAGGTAAATTTAATATCCATATAATGAAATAAAACTTTATCGGCCTAGACGATCATAATAAAACGCAATTTTTGTAATCACACACACATGTGAGTGATTTTCGGAACGGTCGCGACGCATCGTAGAATATTGCGATCAATTAAGTACCAGATGGATGGGGCGGCTGGTAGCATTCCATCCTCAATATATGTACAATAGTGTGTATTTACATGTGTGTGGGAGTGATCTCATCTGTGAATGGTAGCTCAACTAGCAGAGCAACCGACTTTCAATGGTTAATTACGGTTATTTGAGTACAAATAACAAATAGGTATACATATAGAAATCTATATTTATCAAAATAATTACCTGTTTTTGATGATTTACCGTTATATTGCTTTTATCCAATTTATCACTTTCCGTTGGCTGACAATTCTGATTTGTTTGTAACTGTGCTCGTTTTTTTGCTGTTTCGTTTCTCTGAGCATTCGTTTGTATATCGTTTTGCGGATCGTCTAGTGTCATTTTAAAAACAAATTTTTTTCCTGAAAGAAAGAAGACTAAGAAGACTATTCGTTGAAGTTTTTTACAAAAAGGAATTATAGATATTATAATTTTTAATGTTATCAGACACATACACATGTACATATACATACAATCAGTAGTAAAAAATGTATCGCCTATTGGATGCATAACGTAAATTTATGTTTAGAATACAATGATACATATGCACATAATTTATTACCTTACTGGTGTATGCTTAATATTAATGTTTTTATGCAAGGCAATTATTACACTTACTATGACGTCATTTCTCCACCTACCTTAATCTTGTGCGAGTGAATTTCAATGCATATACGAATCTCAATCAGACATAGTGCTGCAAAAATATCGGATCGGTATCGTTATAGTCGATATTTTGGAATTTTGGAAAAACATCGATATTGGTTTTCCTTAGTATCGATATAACGAAAAAATGGTTACTGTCGAAGTTGGTTTTGACTGCGTAAGAGCTCATTTTTGAAATTTTGCAAAATTTTATAAAAATTGTATTTCTAACTTTTCTGAATAAGAACCAATAGGTTTTGCCTTAGTGCCATGGAGGCGATTGCTTTTGTTATTATTTTAGTTTCAATGAATTACTATAAAATATATTTGTTGTTGACAAAAATGGAAAGAAAATGGATCTATGACTAACTGACTAAGTATATTTTATAATTAAAGCTTTAAGATCATTTTGGTTATATATTATATACTAGTTGTTCCGGCGAGCTTCGTACCGCCTAACAGTCTCTATATATACATATAACGTAATACAATAATACAAAAAAATATTTAGATAGATAATTGTCAGATTCACGAATCATCAAACAATATGCGTAATAATTCATCGAACTAACCTTCTTGGCAGTTTCCTCACCTAAAACAAATACAGTAAAAATTGTATTTTAGAACCCCTAATAGGTTTACGACTCTTACAGCTACTCTCTACTAAATTAAGAGTGATAACTCTTTTTGTGTACCAAAAGCAAACAGAATAAAATGTATATAAAGTTAAAATGAAAACAATGATTGATTTTACCTTTCAAGGGATAATCATTTTGATACTAAAGTGATATCCATCGTCACCTTGCCAAAACATCAGCGGGTATTGTAAAGCGTCATATGAACGGTGCGTTTCAGATATTCTTTGCAGTTGCCTAGTACTGCGTCGTGTAAGCACAATATCGCGTGCTTCCAAGCTTTCACCAACAATCACGATTGCCATCTCATCGATTGTTGGAGCATTAAATATGCGTTCATGTGTTCCAGCTGGTCTTTTATCTGCTCTGATTACTGCTTTATAGTCATCTCTTGATGGTCGTGAAGCATTTGCTGCAAATCTTGGAGAATTGCTCTTTTCATAGCTGTGTTTATTTCTTGACGCCGGTCAAGTTGTTCTTCCATATTGCCCATGAAGTATATTTGCAAGAATTTGTGCTGTGCATCTTCAATAGCGATATTCCGTTGCCTAAGTGCATCATAGGTCCGCCGGGAAAGATTAGATCTTCTAGGACGCGGCATTTTTATTAATAGTAATACTGAATATGCCCTCGCACAAAACCACATAAAACAATCGAGAAATATAAATATAAATAATTTACACAAATTTATGTTTGAGACAAACAAATACTATTGTATAATATGAGAGCAGGACCGACAACTGCCATTGTTATCAAGCCTACTGAGTATCAATGGAAATTTGAATCTTTAGGGAAAAAATCGCGTTTTTCAAGTATTTTTTCAGTATTTTTAAGATCTACTATCCTACTCGTGGCGGAGACAAATCCATCAAATCAAAAACCATGAAAATTGGTCCAGCTGATCTCGAGTTATAAGTGGAGGAGCACTTTTACACAACTCTCTTTTATATATATAGAAGAAGATTAAAAATAGATCTCTGAATGGAATTTAATAAATTAAATTTTTATAATTTTTATATATTTGTTTAGATTTTTTATTCATAGTCATAAGTACGAAGAGAAGTATAAAAGTAGAAGTGCTCTACTTAAATTTATTTCTTTTATAAAAACTACCTTATAAGGTAAAATAAGGTATAAGGTAAAAATTTTCGATGGAACCATCGATATAATCGCTAGATTTTCATCGATGTGTCGATGGTTTCCCATCTCTATTACAGACCCACGATTGAGAGATAACACTAACCAGAGAAGCGCACTGATTTTGTCGTGCCTTATTTTCACTGCTTGAGCGTCAAAAGACCAAGCCGAGCAAGTACGAAGTTGACTGGTCTCTTCAGCGCATTTTTACGTCGTTGAAAAAATTTATTCTAGTCTATGTGTTCTCTGGCTAGTGGTGATAACTGTTGCTGGGAAGAACATCGATCTAACAACGATATATCGATTTTTTATAGTCATCGAAAATATCGATGCTGCTAACTTCGATACTCGATATATCGCCATCACTAGACTATTATTTTCCCATCACTTAAATAAAAACGCGGTATAAAGTATTGATGTAAATTTGAATGAATACATCGATGTCGATGTCCATCAATATTTTCAAAATCAGACATCGATGTTGGATTAATACATCGGATTAAAAATTCGATGCATCGAAGTATTTTTTTTTTTTTTTTACTTTTTTACTGGTGCTCTCATGGCGTTACTATTATTTAAAAATTAAATTAAATAAAAAAAATAAATTAATTTAAATTTAAATAAATAAAAAGCTTAAAAGTATTCAACATTATTTAACAAACATAAAAATATACAAATAAAAATGAGCTTTCATAGCAGTATTTTGCTTAAGGCCTAACTTAAAAATTTTTAACAAAGGAGAGATATGCTTTCATAGCAGTCTTATATATTTCACTAAAATTAAACAGAATTACATATTATTTTACAGGGAACATAAGATATCATCAACGGAAAAAATTTGATTGCAATTTCAAATAAATTAGGATAGGTACTTTTCATACCTTCCCAAAAAGAAAAATATTGCATTCGAATTGGGTTAACTGCATTCGCAGATAATGATGTTTTGCAAAACATCGATGCATCGTTCAACATCGGTATCAGCGAAAACATCGGTAAAAATTGTTAATAAAACATAGATGCTCGATGCATTGATGATTTTCTACATCATTAGTATAAAGCGGTAAGGTTATTACAAGTTAATTATAACAATATAATTAAAATACTACCGTTGTAACGCTTGTACGAGTTTAATGAACGGAACAAAAGACAGACTACTTAAGTACGAGTCGCGCTCGAATACGAGAATCGCAACACTCCTGGACCCCCGTTTTAAGAGGGATGGATTTTTATCCCCGTTTAACGTAAGCGATGCGGAGAAATTTTTAGAGGACGAACTCTCTATGGTTAATACAAGTCATTAGAAAATGGTCTCATGAAACAAAGTATTCGTTGTTAAGTAGTTTATAGTTTGATAGTAGTTAATAGTTTGTTAGTAGTTTATGTGAAACGTTTGTTAATTTAAATAAGAAATTCTTTTGATTTTGATACGAAAACTTCGTTTTTTTTTTTTTTTTTTCATTTTTGGGAGTTAAAATATTTTTATAAAAAAATCGATGCATCGATCTGAGACCCATGCATAATATCGAAATATCGATCTAGGTAAAGATCGATCTTTTCCCAGCACAGCAGCACCCAGCAAAAAAGAGCGAGTGAATTAACTAAACTTGAGTAAAAGCAGCTCATTGAGGTGAGCCGGTTCACTCGATCTTTTTTGTGAACTGAGCCAACTCACTCATTTGGCTCACTGGCTCACTTGCTGATAGCTCATGAGCCGATAGTGAGCCGGGTGAGCCAAAACGAGCTAGTGAGCCAGAACGAGCTAGTGAGCCAAAATGAGCTAGTGAGCCAAAATGAGCGGGTGAACCAAAACGAGCTAGTGAGCGAAAACGAGCTAGTGAGCCAAAATGACCTGTGTCGCAACATACTGTGTTTTTTAACAGTGTTGTAGACCTATAACACTAACCAGAGGTTAGTGCCTATAATCAAATTTCACAAAGAAAGAACAAAATCATTAATGATGCAAAAAAACCAAAGATCTATCGGGATATTCAATATCCACCGATACATCCGTAACAGTCATCAATAAATTAAAAAAGATCATCACCAGTTGATACTGACAATTAAAACAATAAAGTAACTTCAAAAACTTATTAAATTTAGAATATTTTTGCATACTAGCAATAATAACAAATTGTAATCAATTATAAACATATCAAATTGCTAAATTTGATCAGTATATATTTCAATTTGAAGTCTAATAATACGATATTTAATAAAATATACTAATGTATCCTTATGATAAAATACTTATACCAAAATATATTTGGTATATTTTCGCAGACAACTCGATAGCACGGATAGTAAATTATCGGACACGTATTTAGCTATACTAAATACAGATGTGCTCACATGTACACAAGAAAATACACACATACACATACGTAGCTTCCAAGTTGCAACCGAAGAAAAACTCGTGGAAGTGTAAAAGGTTTAGCTTCTAGTTTTTTAAAAGATAAATAAAAAGTAAAATGTTTAATCGCCATTAACAAGGAACGTATTGTAGGACTAGGCACATGCGCACAGGACTTATACATATGAATTTAAAGGTTTGTTTTAAGCTTTTATAAAAAATAGCTCTTGTTTTGTTTGACACTTACCATATATTATAATATAAGCATGAAATCGTGTGCAAATTTGAGTTATGTCACCAAGAAGTATCGCATGGTCCATAATGCTCACGTTGTATCTATGTACATACATAATAAAATTACATGTGTAAAGATTACATTCGAAGTTTCCCAAGTTCGAGGAAAAACAGTAGCTTTACTCGCAACGGTACTTTAAAAATTCAGCAAATCGGTAGTATTTTTACATATGTATGTATGTATTTAGATACATTCATACTTTTGCTTCTCGTGCTGCTTGTGTGGAACACCATCCCAATTTCCTATGCAACAACTGCATCGATATCGATTATTCGAAAATAGAATTTGGCGTATAAGAACGACAAAACGAATCAACATTCGAGAACTAATATTTCTATTTTTCTATTTATATTAAATGTATTTAAACAAACGTTTATTAATTTCAGATTATCTACGGTGTGAAGTGTATGAAAAATCACATGTTGACTTGGATATCGTGATGAATATGTTATTCATTATTACTCATCAAGGAAGATTGAGTGTAAAGAAAATTTTTTGTATATTTATAACTCAACAACAATACAATACAACGATCTTTAAACATCAAAATAATAATAAATCAACGTTGTCATTAGAGCCATATTAGTTGGAAAATTACATAAGCCTTGAACAATTCTTATTATAAAATTAAGATATGATGGAATTATCAATCGAATGCTAACTTTTCAGCGATTAATGAAGAAAAAACCCGTGAGTGTTAGATTTTTGTTAAATTGAAAGAGAAAAATTCAAATTATACTCCATAGATCATATCAAATATTCATAGGTGTATGTATTTAGTTTGATGCACACACATATGTAAAAATTGTAAAATTGAGACAAGGCGGGCTTGGTATTGATACGGATACATATCTAAAACTTTGGCACTCTATTTTGGTTGTCAGAGCAACAAGTATTGCATTCTAGTCGAAACGTAATGCATTCAGTTCAAAGTGCAACCGAGCAGCAGCAGCACATCGGGTCATTTAAGAGAAGGTTGCACAAACAGAGAGACGGTGCTGTCGGCGTCGGAAGCTGCGCAAACCAACGAAGATCTAAGGCAAACATATTCGTATTGACTGATGTATTGATTGTTTTGTCCTTACTTCAAAAGGAGTACATAAAACATTTCTATTTTGAGAAGAGTGTAAGCAGAGGAGGACGACTTCAAGAAAAGCTGGCCACAGCGTGGCACCTGCTACTGGTTCATGCCAGCGCAAACTTTGGATGATTAAAATTAATTTCTTGACCATGTGATCTATGCAAACTATTTTTTAATGGGAACTGGTCTGCCAATTGCGGGTGCAGATTTCGCTCGTTGCGCCTACGTAAGACAAAACGCCTAAAAACGATTTTCATTGGGGATTGTGTTCACTTAAACCATGCTGTATAATAGAAATATGAAAGGACGCCTAATTAAACCATTCTTCAAAAATGATGCTCGATTAAATTTTTTAAACAGGCACGCACAAGAGCTGTGCAGCTGACATATATATATATATATATATATATATATATATATATATATATATATATATATATATATATATATATATATATATATATATATATATATACATATATACATATATATTGCGCCTAAAAAATAGAGCAAATTAAAAAAGTGAGAAATAAATCATCAGGAAATCCGTTAACAGTAATTTTAATATAAATTGGTGTCAGATTTGTCTAGCAAGAATGTCTGCCAACCAAAGTAAAAATGGCGGATGCCTTATTGCAGAAGTTGTGCCCCCAGAGCTTTTGTTACTGCAGCCCTTATCGGAAAGCAACGTTCAGCTGGCAGAACGCGAACAGTTGCTGCACTTGCCGCGTATTGCTACCAAGAACAATCTGTTGAAGCTAAATTGGTGGCATTCGCCCGCACAGCAATTGGACATCGAAGCCTCATTCCTGGCCCCCACGCGAATCAATATTGATGCAAATCGGACCAACACAAAGCCAACTGAAATTGCCAACAACACGACCAATCAAAGCAGCCTTAATACACCTGTAAAATCAATTCCTATGCCTAAGGAAAAACATTCAACTGCTAAACAGCCGAATGATAGGTTGAGTCTCAATTTCGATCCTGATGAAGATTGTCATCTACATAATTCCCAGTTGTTAATGAAGGGTAGGTAAACATATTTATTATATCTTATTATAATTATACCCTGAACACATTGAAAATGGGATTTTTAAAAGGCATATTTTAATGTATCCGCATGTTTTGTTTCTTGTGTAAGCAGATAGACGATAAGAAATATCTTGCTCTTGCTCTTGCTCTTGCTCAAAGAGGTCAGGGGATTTCATAGTCGAGCTCAACTAGAGCTTTCTTATTATGACTAGAGTCATGAATATTTTTATACCCTGAACCCATTGAAAATGGGAAATCAGGGTATAATGGTTTTGTTAAAAGTATGTAACAGGCAGAAGGAGGCGTGGCAGACCCCACAAAGTATATATATTCTTGATCAGGGCGACGAGCTGAGTCGATTTGGCCCTGTCCGTCCGTATGTATAAACGCGTCGATCTCAAGATATAAGAGCTAGAGACTTGAAATTTTTTTCCTAGGTCCGTGTATAGCACGCGCATATCAAGTTTTTCTCTAAATATCGATAACTACTCTCGATATTTTATTATCGATTAAAAACCTTATCGAAAGCTAGTTATTTAATTATATCTCCTACACCTTTAAAGCTAGAGCTTCCAAATTTTAAATGTAGACATATATATTTTATACAATTTCGATTTTTGTTAAAATTTACCCCCCACTCCTATTTCTACCCCCTCACCCTCACCTTTGTAAAAAGCGTATTTCAAATACTAGACTCTTGTGCTTTAAAATATACATACATATAAACATTATAATTATGTTCTGAAAGTTTCATTACGATTGTACGTCTAGAAATTAAATTATTCAACAAATAAATTCGTATAATGTTGCCCACACTGCAGCGCAGCCCAAGCGCAGTCGCTGCTTACTGCGCAATTAGCAGAGTGCGTTCTAATACGTGCGTGTGTATGTATGAGTGCCGAAAAGAAGTGCACAGTGATTAGAATATCAGATTGAAGGGTTCAGGGTATCTCCTAGTCGAGCTGTCTCGACTAGAGTCTTCTTACTTGTTTTCTTTGGAATTATTTTGTTTGTTTTTGTTGCTATTCTTATTATTTGTATACCCTGAACCCATTGAAAATGGGACATCAGGGTATAATGGTTTTGTTAAAAGTAAGTAACAGGCAGAAGGAGGCGTGGCAGGCCCCACAAAGTATATATATTCTTGATCAGGGCGACGAGCTAATTCGATTTGGCACTGTCCGTCTGTCTGTCCGTCCGTCCGTCCGTATGTATTAACGCGTCGATTTCAGAAGATATAAGAGCTAGAGACTTGAAATTTTTTTCCTAGGTCCGTGTATATCACGCGCATATCAAGTTTTTCTTTATATATCGATAACTACTCTCGATATTTTATTATCGATCAAAAACCTTATCGAAAGCTAGTTATTTAATTATATCTCCTACACCTTTAGAGCTAGATCTTGCAAATTTTAAATGTAGACTTATATATATTTTATATAATTTCGATTTTTTTTTAATTAACCCCCCACCCCTATATCCACCCCCTCACCATCACCTTTGTAAAAGGCGTATTTCAAGTAGTAGAGGCGTGTGCTTTGGAATGAACATACATTTTCACCATATAATTACGCCCTGAAACTTTCATTAAGATTGTACGTATAGAAATTAAATTATTCAACAAGCGCAGTTAGCAGAGCGCATTCTAATACGTGTGGGTGTATGTATGTGTGTCGAAAAGAAGTGCAGACTGATTAGAATATCAGATTAGAGGGTTCAGGGTATCTCCTAGTCGAGCAGTCTCGACTAGAGTCTTCTTACTTCTCATATTTTAATTCTAGTGCGTCTATTGCTGAGTGTATAAAGCCCAGCATGGGTCTATTACATATTTTTGTTTCTTATCGCTGAGTATGACTCGGCGTTGGTTTATTAGTTATTATCATCCTATCGCTGAGTTTGTAAGGCTCAGCGCTCGTCTCTTACATATTATTGACGCTGAGAGCTTCATAGTATATATTTCTAGCTTGACAGTCCACTCTTGTCATCTATCAGGACTATATCGACTCAGCTCGTCGACCTGATCACGAATATATATACTTTATGGGGTCTGCCACGCCTGCTTCTACCTGTTACATACTTTTATCAAAATCCCTGATTTCCCATTTTCAGTGAAATCGACGCGTTCGAACATACGGACGGACGGACAGGGCCAAGAATATGTATACTTTGTGTGGTCTGCCACACCTCCTTATGCCTGTTACATACATTTCAACAAAACCCTTATTTCCCATTTTCAATGGGTTCAGGGTATAATATATATATAACATTTTGTCAATAGCATACCTACATGTTGTTTTTTACCATCAAAGTTGAAGATACTAGTGCTCGGCGGGTCTCGAATATAGCTTTCTTGCTTATTATACCTTGACTCATTTGACTATATAGAATCATAACATTAGCTTACGTGCGAAATTTCACCCTTCTAGCTGTGCGTGTGGATCTACATTCCCAATTTCATCATTCTGGCTCTTCAACTAATATGATTTCTGGCATATCGGAAAATGCATTTTCCGACTTGCCAATCCCCTAGTGGTCGGATCGAAAAATTTTAACACTTTATAATTCGGAGTTACACGAGTAATTGTTCAAAATTTCAGGTCTCTAGCTTCAATAGCGCCGAAAAAAGTAGCGTTCATACGTACAGACTGAAAAGACAGACATTGCACAACACCAATATGATTCACTCAATATTTGTCTACGCCTACCAGGGGCGTGGCAAATCGGACCTGAAGATATAGTGATTCTGCTGTATTTTTGACACTATTGATGCTAGATACCTCAAATTTTGTATATATACTCGGGCTGACCACCCAAGACCAAAAAGCTCCGACGGATATATCTCCGCCCACAGGGGGCAAGGAAAACCGCAAAGTTTATATCTCATAAAGTATAATAGCTAGAAGCTTTATATATGGATAGTTAACTAGTAACCTCCTCTGTCGATGCCCCAAAAATAATTTAAGGGCGTGACATATCGAAAAATTAAGCATTCAAATTTTGCAATAAAAACAAGTAAGAAAGCTCGACTACGAGATCCCCTGAACCCTTCGAGCAACTGATATTTCAATAATTATTCGCATATGCACACACACACGCACGCATATACACAAATTTAAACAAAAACCGAAATTGAAATAAGTTTATTAGGGGTTTCCGATGATGTTTTTAATCGATAACGAAATAACGGGGCAAGTTATCGATATTTAAAGCAAAACGCGATATGCGCGTGGTATACACGGACCTAGGAAAGAAAATTTGAAGTCTTTAGCTTTTATATCTTCTGAGATCGACGCGTTCAAACATACGGACAGACGGACGGACGGACAGGGCTAAATCAACTCGAATTTCGATTTTTGTCAAAATTTACCCCCTCACCATCCCATTTGTAAAAGGCGTATTTAAAATATTAGCGACTTCTACTTTGGCAAATACATGCATATCTATATTATATTCATAATCTGAAAGTTTCATGAAGATAGTCCATCCAGAAGAAAAGTTATTAAACAATTAAGTTCCCATAGTAAGCCAACACTGCAGCCAATGCGTGTTTATGCGTGCGTGCGTATCTCTGTGTGTGTGTGTGTTTTTTTTTTTTTTTATATTCGTTTATTGACAATCTTAATACAATTTGCAAGTTGTGTGGTGGCTAGGATAGTGCGCGGTGCTTGCGGGACGGCCGTAAAGCATTGCTTCGCAAGCACTGTGCGCTACCTTAGCCTGGGACAGCTCGTCTTCTCATTCGCTCGACTCTGCGGAGCTCCATCATCACTGTGGCCGCGAAGGTGCTTGTTAGTTCCCAAGCTTCCTCCGATTGCAGCATGGCGTTGACAATGTTGTCCGCTCTGATGGAGCGGCCCACTGCCTCTTCCAGACGACGCCTCTCCTCCAGGAACCGTCCACATTCGAAAAGAATGTGGTTGACGTCTTCCACATGCCCTCGCTCGCACCAGGGACACTAATCAGTTTCCTCGTAACCAAAGCGCTTCAAATAGCTCCGAAAGCATCCATGGCCCGAGAGGATCTGCGTAAGGTAGAAGTTTACCTCGCCGTGTTTGCGGTTGACCCATGGTTCAAGCTCCGGGATGAGCTTGTGCGTCCACCGCCCTTTAGCTGAGCTATTCCACTTTCTTTGCCATCGTGCAATGCTGTTCGCCCTGATAGCGTTGAGACGCGCAGGCGCGTTCGAATTCCGCTCCACGGCTGGTACCATACCAGCTATGACGAGCGCCGCGTCATCGGAGATAGTCCTGAAAGCGCAGCTGACTCTGATTGCGCTCAGTCTGTAGATCGCGCAAATGCCCCGGCTGTAGCTCGGCGTTGCCATCGCTCTTGCCCATATTGGCGCAGCATAGAGGATGACGGACCTAATGACGCTCATTAGAAGGAGTCGTCGTTGCTGTTTAGGTCCCCGCGTGTTAAGCATAATTCTCGAGAGAGCTCTACAAGAATCAGCTGCCTTTTATGCACATACTAAGTGCTCGCGGAAAGTTAATCTTGTGTCTATCATGACACCAAGATATCTTATCGCCCTCTTTGACGCAATGGTGACGCTGCCGATTATATTGGCAGTTTCCACTCTTTTGCGACTGCTGACTAGGACAACTTCAGTTTTGTGTGCCGCTAGCTCGAGCCCAGCTCCAGTCAACCAGCTTCGTATGCGATTGATACTTTCGCTGCACATATCCTCTGTATCTTTGAGCTCCTTTCCTATGGCTACGACAGCTACATCATCAGCAAAGCCAATGGTGTGCGCACCTGCTGGTAGTTCCAAGCGCAGTACGCCGTCGTACATGATATTCCATAGGAGAGGCCCCAGCACTGAGCCTTGGGGTACTCCAGCTGGCACTGTATGAGTTTGGGGACCCTCACTCGTATTGTATACCAGTGTTCTTCCTCTGAAGTAACTCTTTATTGTTTCTTTAAGATATTTAGGGATACTATATTGTGACAGCGCATTCAGTATCATATCCCAACTAGCTGTATTGAAGGCATTCTTT